CAACTGGGTCCTGCCTGGAAGGAAGGTTATCAATTTAGCAACTACCACAACCGTTTCATCGTGAAGAAGAAGAAAATTACTCTGTTAAACTTCTGCGTGTTCAAGGCGCTAGCTTGCGACGGTTTGAGCAGCGTTAGGAACATCTGAAAATTTACCCTTCCGTTTAGTGTTTTTTTTTTAAACCAGCCCTGCAAGCATGCATCGGATGGTGAGTCCTCCCCCGGGCTTCGCGCCAGTCTCGAAATTGGTGACTCCGACGGCGATAATGGCTCCATCTACCACCGCGTCTAACGGAGCCGTGCAGGAGAAAGGGAATTATGCGGCTCACGAGAGAGCGAACTCCGTGTCGAGTCCTGATGGATCTGGATTTGACGGCAGCCCTAATTCCACCAAGGTAAGCATTTTATGTTTTCGTACGTTCTTTAACTTTGAAGAACTCTTATCAGTTCTGTTTCCCCGTTGCGTTTCCTATATTTTTTTTCTCTAATTCCTTTTTTTGCTGCGATTCCCTCTGCTTTCAGGAGCCAGACAAGGCCTCAGCACCTGCGAGCGGTCTTACCGACGTAGCCTCTGCATCGGGTTACCACGCTAGGCGAGCAGCTGCGAGGTCGGTGGCGACTCCCCATCCTCACCCGCACCCGACAGAAGACATCAAACCAATTCAGCCGCGCGGTCCCGACGGTACTCGCGGCTTCAAGTACGGCCGCGGAAAACCGTTACCTGGGCCTAACGGGGTGCTGGTAACTGGTAACACCAGTGCTCCCCCTTCCACCATCGGCTCTCCTCCGCAGTATGTTTCCGGGGCTGGCGGCGGAGCAGGCGCGTACGTTGGCGCGGGGAGCGCGCTCAGGCGCGGGGGAGCCCGCGGGATGGGCGCGGGGGGAGAGGCGGAGAAGCTAGCGGGAGAGGTGGAGCGGTTGGCGGGCGAGAAAGACAAGGTGGAGAGTGAGTTAGCGGAAGCGAAGCTTGAGGTGCAACGCCTGCAACACGACCTTTTCGTCTCTCGATTCGAAGCCGAAGGGCTGCGGCGTCGCCAGCAGACCGCGACCGGCGGCGACGACGGCGGTGACGGTGCGGATGGTGAGCGGAAGGGTGGCAAGGAAAGCGAGGATGCGGGCGAGGGGGAAGGGAAGGGTGAGGATGGGGGAGGTACGGAGGGAAGTAAGGAATTAAAACACTCCTTGTCCGAGGCTAGGATGGAGATAGTGCGGCTCGAGCACGAGTTATTCACTCTTAGGTTCGATGCGGAGAAGCAGCGCGTTCTTGCGGAGGAAGCGGCGGCTGGAACTGGCGGAACGGAAGGGGGAGCAGTAGGCGGAGCAGGAGGCGGAGCCAAGAAGGTGAGTTCGACGAGGGACTTGGGCGCGGGGGGCGCGGATGCATCCGCGGAAGGGCTGGCGCAGAAGCTTGCGCGCGCGGAAGAGGCGCTCGAGGAGTCTCGGTGCGAAGCTTCGCGGCTGCAGCACGAGCTGTTCGAGGCAAAGTTCCAAGTGGAAAAGCTCCGGACCGCGCAGGCGGACGCGCGCGCCGCTGTCGATCAGGCGTTGAAGGAACGCGCGGGAGAGAAGGGCGGCACGGGAGCGGGCGGAGGGGAAGGAGGGAAAGAAGGCGAGAAGGAGAATGAGGAGGGGGAGGTTGAGGAGAGTTTTGCGGAGTTGGAAGCGGTTGTAGCACGCGAGGGGTGTCGGCTCTGTGTGCGTCTGCTGGCCGCGTTTTCCGGCGCGAAAAGGCGCGCGGATGCGGCGGAGAAGGTGATTGGGCAGGACCGCGCGGAGCTCGAGGGGCTGCGGAACGGGCGGGAGGAGGTTCGCGCCGCCGCCGCCTCTGCTGCCGCCGCCTTCGCCGCCGCGTCCGCCGCAGGGCAGGAGGCGGCGCAGAGGGAGCGGCAGAACTGGGAGCGAGCGGAGGAGGCGGAGAGAATGCATGCCGCGAGTAACTCCTCCGCCGCAGCCGCGATTGCGGCAGCGGTGGCGGAAGCGGGGGCGCTGCGCGCGCGCTGCGCGGAGCTAGAAGGGCAAGCGTCCGCTGCATCGTCGGAAGCGGCCGCCGCGAAGGAGCATTTGAAGCAGGTGGCCATGGCTATCAGCGAGCGGAGCCTGCACAGGGCTGTAGCAGGGCAGGACGAGCACCCCGCGCTACAGCCGTTTGGCGCAGCGCAGGGCGCGCCGGGCAGCGGATTGTGGGGCGCAGGGGACATGGAACACACCACGGATCGCAGCACTGGGCGCGACGGTAGGTGGGACTTCGGGCAAGAGATGGGGGTGGGAGGCGGAGCAGGGGCGCAAGGCGCGCAAGGGGCGCAGGGGGGGCAGGGGGCGCAGGGACATCAGCTGTGGGACCCGTCGACCCTTGACCCTGCTATCTCTGCCTTCTCCTCCGGCTCTCGTCCGCCCCCCTTCGCTGCCGCTCAACCTCCCCCGCTCCCGGGACAGTCTCTTGACCTACACTTGCAGCAGCAGCAGCAGCAACAGCAGCAGCAACAGCAGCAACACCAGCAGTTTTCCGGCGGGTTAGGGTTTGGCGGCCTGCCTCCGCACATGTCCCCTCCTCCCCACAGGCAGCACCCAGGCGCGCTCCCCCCTGCGGACGCCGCCATGCATGCGTTTCTAAGCGATAGCCAGGGCCCTCCAGGGCAATCCGCGCCCTTAGGCGCGCAGTTTCCCCCACCCTCAGGGTTTGCGCTTGGGGGAAGAATACCCTCCCCCGCTCCCCCTGGCGCCATGGGGTATGCTCCTTCTAGTGGGGGCATGGGCGTGGGTATGGGCGCGGGTATGGGCGCGGGCATGGGCGCAGGTCATCTGGCCCCTCCGCTTCCTGTTGCTCTCACAGAAGAGGAGTTGCTGATGCAGCTGAGTGGCGGAGGAGGAGGGGGAGGTGGGCAGGGGCAGGGGTTGGTGGCGCAGCAACAGCAGCAAGCGTTCCAGCAGCAGCAGCAGCAACAGCAGCATCAGCATCAGCAGCAGCAGCAGGTTCAGCAGGTGCAGTTTCAGCTACAGCAGCAGCAGCTGGAGCCACAGCAACAGCAGCCGCAACCGCAACAGCAGCAGACGTGGCAGCAGCAGGAGTTGCTGCAGCATCACCAGCACCAGCAGCATCACCACCACCCCTCGCACCACCACCACCATCATCCTCACCACCAGCAAAACCAACAGCAGCACCACCACAATCAGCACCATCCCCACGAGCAACACCACCAGCAGCAGCACCAGCAGCGGTCTTCCCTCATCCCCACTGCCGTACTCCTTGCAAGCAGCCCTGCTGAAAGCAGCAGTCCCGGACATCGTGACGGCTTTTACGATCTACACCACAGCGCAACCGCCGCAGCCGTCACTGGTAGAAGCAGCATCAGCAGCATCGGCAGCACCGGCAGCAGTAGTGGTATGATGATGATGATGGGTGGTGGTGGTGGAGGAGCGGATAATCTAGCCCCCCCTCCTCCCCCGCCTCTCAACTCATGGGCTGCTGGTGGTGCTGGGAGTGGGCTCTGGGGTGGTTTTTGAGTCGATTTAAAAGCAGCAGCATCAGCAGCATTGGCAGCATCGGCAACCCTTTCTCCTGCCCGGCCGGCCTCTTAACTTGTGGACAGCTGTTGGAGCTGGGAGTGGGCTCTGGAATGGTAGAGGCTGGGAGACGATGCAAGCAAGGTACCGAGGCCGCTCTGAATGGGTATGGCCGGGAGTGTGGTTGAGGAGGGTTGCTGTTGCAGCTCACACTTGCGCGTGGGGAAGAATGGAAAATAGTCTTTATCACTTGGAAGCTACCGACTCTGGCTGATGTACATCCTATCTGGAATGGTTGTGTTGACTGTTTTGCTGACTGTCTTCTGGAGCTTAGATTTAACATCTCAGATTGTGTGTCTGGTGCTATGTGCTTGCTTACTGTGTCTTCCAACTAGCATTTTACCGTATCACCCCGGATATAAGCGCAGGCCTATGTTAAGCGCATGCGCTTATATCTGGAGCAATGCGCTGATTTATTATAAGCGCATGTATAAACATATTATAAAATAACCGGATTAAAACAGTAACGACTTCCCGTTTTGCAGCGAGTCCACATCCACTTCTACTCTGTTCGACTCCCTCGAGGGCGGGCTCGCTCAGGAAAAGCGCAACGGCGCAAAGTTGAGCTGACAGGGGGCTCGGGAACAACTGTTGTCTGTGCGCTGCGAGCGAGCGACTGCAGCCTGCAGGCCATTGGTCGTACACTGGGGCAAGCCTGTGCGATGCAAACGAGCGACTGCAAGCTATTGGTTCGTACACTGGGCTGGGGCGAGCATGACACATTCCTATGCGAAAGTGACGTGTCCTTCCTTGCCCTTGTGCGCCGGCAAAGAATCGCCCTCGCGCGATTCTGAAGCAGAACCCTCCACACATTTCGATTCGAATGAGATTTCAAGACTCAGATGCACAGTTTGGTGCGTTTATAACATATTTATGTGTTTGTCATTATATAAGCGCATGCGCTTATAAATTTGACTCATTTATAAACGCACCCCCCTAAAAAACACTGTTTTATTATAAGCGCAGATGCGCTTATATCCGGGGTATTGCGCCATACCATAAGTTAGGCATTTTTGTCTCAAAAGCACATTGTCATGCTGGGTTGCCATTGCCAGCCAGTTGTGTTGGTATGTACAGCCCTGGACGCATTACTGTATGACGTTATTCAGCACTTCAAGCATATTGTTATAATCAGAACAATCTCGAAATGACCACACCACATCACTATACTGATCAGACATGAAAACAGAGAAGACTTATTATTACCCAGGAATCTTTGCGGTCCTATGGAACAAAATCTCAACATGAGCTCGGATGAACTAGGAGAGAGCAGCACGGGTGTTCGGTTTAGGAGAGAGTAGCACAGCCCTCTGGTTTAGGAGAGAGTACGGTAGCATGAGCGCCCTGACTGAGCCTCCTTGGCGATGCTGATAAACACGTCTTCCAGGGTTGTGTTGGCTTGTTAAGACTTTTGCAGTCCTAAGAAGAGAATCAGCTGGGCTAAGACAGAGCAGCATGAGCGCCCTGAGCCTCCTTGGCGATGCTGATGAACACGTCTTCCAGGGTTGTGTTGGCAATGCCCCACGCGCGTATCGATATCCGTGCCTTGGCCTCGGCTACTGTTGCAAACACGTCTGCCATGTTCACCTGCAGAGGGGGGGAGGGGTTGAAGGAAGGGAGCCAAAGGCTTATGAAGTCATCCTCAAGGGTTGTGTTGGCGATGCCCCACGCACGTATCGATATCCGTGCCTTTGCCTCTGCCACTGTTGCAAACACATCTGCCATGTTCACCTGCAGAGGGTGGAAAGGGGAAGGAACAATGGGGAGTGGAAGGGGTGGCAAGGAGAAGTGAGATAGAGGTCAATCTTGCTAACACTTCTACCATGTTGCAGTAGGGAAGGGTGGAGGGAGGGGAGGAGGGGGGGAGTGGAGGGAGGGGATGGGAGGAGCGGGGAGGAGAGGGGCGATAGGGGGAGGGGAGGGGAGGGGAGAAGGGGAAAAGGAGAGGGGGATTGCAGCAAGGAATTGCAATGGAAGGAGAAAACAGAGGCAGGGAGATGGATAGAGGAACCCATCAGTCTGTTCCCCAAACCAAACTCACATCTGCAGTGGGCAGCTCAAACTTTTGCGTGCCCGCGAGGCTGTAGACCTTCTTGGCATTGGGCGAGAGCGACTTCGCCAGCTCAGCAGCCGCCTCCTCCTCTTCGGCCGGCGTGGTGACAGTAAAGACAAACGACCCGCCGTACCGCGACGTCAGCTGCCTCGGGTTCCCGATGCACTCAAACTGGCCGTCCACGAATATGCCCAGACGGTCACACAGAGCCTCTGCTTCCTCCATGGAGTGGGCTGGGGAAAGGCAAGAGGGAGGGGGGGAAAGGGAAAAAGGAGAAGGGAATACGGGAAGCAGGGGAGGAGAGGGACGTCAGCTGCTGGGGGTTCCTAGTGCACTCAGCCAGGCCGTCCACGAATATGCCCAGACGGTCGCAGAGAGCCTCTGCTTCCTCCATGGAGTGGGCTGGCGTGGAGAAGAAGGGAAAGGGAAAGAGGGAGAAAAGGAGAGAAAAAGGGGTAAGGAGAAGGAGGTTAGCTGCCGCGGTTTCAAAATGAACCGGGAGTGGCCGCTGACAGATAAGCTCAGGCAATCACAGTAGACGACTTCTGAGACGCCTCAAAAGCTGCTGACATATGGTCAGGGAATCACAGTAGGCCTCTGCGGTACCCTACCTTTGGCAAGACAGCCACTCACGCATGAGCACCACTAACTGGGTCCAACCCTGTAGCGCGATGCTGGGTCCAACCCCGTGCACTCTGTGCCAATCCCCCTATGCTACAGCGTGAAACCACACAGCACCTCCTGACACCGCACAGCACCACTCACTGGTGAGCACGATAGCCGAGTCCTTCTTGGCCTCCTTGACCACGGCCCACAGGTTGTAGCGCGATGCCGGGTCCAGGCCCGTGCTGGGCTCGTCCATGTAGACCACCTGCACGAGGGGAAAGGGAGGGGACGGCGGGAGGAAGAGGAGGGAGTGCGAGGTAAGCTCGTGCGTGCATGCAGTAGAGGTAGGGTCCAGCCCCGTGCTGGGCTCGTCCAGGTACACCACCTGCAGAGAAGGGGGAAGAGGAGAGATACGGGCAGAAGAAGCGGGGGAGAAAGGCTTTAGGAGTTGGATAAGCCGGACCTTGAGCACTGGCGATGGTAGTGGCTGGGTCCAACCCCATGCTGGGCTCGTCCATGTAGACCACCTGCAGAGGGGGGAATGGAGGGAAGAGCGGGAGGAAGAAAGGGAATGCGAGGTCAAGACCAGTGAGCGGTAGAGGCTGGGTCCCGCCCCGTGCTGGGCTCGTCCGTATAGACCACACCCGGGAGGAGGAGGGGAAGGAGGGAGGGCGGAGAGGGGGCGGAGCGGGGCTAAGGCAAGGTAAGGAGTAAGGACGACCTGTGGTTTCAGCCCTGTGCTGGGCTCTCATCCATGCACACCACCTGCAATGGGGGGGGTCGCAGAGGGGAGATAGAAGGAGGGAGGGAGAGGAAGGCGGCGGGAGAGAAAGTGGGGGAGAAAAGCGCTGAGGTTAGATAAGCCTGACCTGTGTGCATCAGTGGTCGCATTCAGAGTCTTGCCTCGAGCCTGCTTTTGCGTCGACTCAAAAGCAGTCTTGCCTCGAGAATACAGCAGGCAAGAAGAACAACAGGAGCACTCACGGGAGGCTTGCCGATGAGGGAGATGGCGACAGACAGCCGCCGCTTCATGCCTCCGCTGTACTTGCCAGCCTTCTTGTCACTAAGAGATAAGTTGACTAGAGACGAGCCAGGACAATGGCTAGAGCACTCACAGGGGGCTTGCCGATGAGGGAGATGGCGACCGACAGCCGCCTCTTCATGCCTCCGCTGTATTTGCCGGCCTTCTTGTCCGCAGCACCCCCCGCCAGCAGGTTGACGCTTTTGAGAGACTCCAGAACCGCTTGCTGCAGTGCCTGCCCGTGCAGGTTCTTGAGGCGCCCGTAGAAGTAGAGGTGCTCCCTGCCGGTCAGCTGCTCCCATAGCAGACTGGCAGGAGGGGAGGGGAAGAAGGAGAGTGAGGGAGGAGCAGGGGGATGAGTCTAGTACCGCCTGCTGCAGCGCCTGCCCGTGCAGGTTCTCGAGGCGCCCGTAGAAATAGAGGTGCTCGCGGCCTGTCAGCTGCTCCCATAGGAGGCTGGTGTGGGGGTGAGAGGAGAGGGAGGCGTGGAGGAGAGTGAGGTGGGGGCAAGTGAGAGTCCAGAAATGCTTGATGCAGCGCCTGCCCATGCAGGTTCTTGAGGCGCCCATAGAAATGGAGGTGCTCCCTTCCTGTCAGCTGCTCCCATAGGAGACTGGCGGGGGAGGAGAAGGAGGAGGGTGAGGGAAAATTTCGAACGAGGAGAGTGAGGAGAGGGGAGAGAAGGGGGAAGTGAAGCGAAACTGTGCCGTGACACAGGATGACTTTTGCGTTGACTCAAAAGTCACCTTGATACAAGAAGCAGCACGAACCCACTCGTGCTGCGGGCACATGCCCATGATGGTTTACACATCGTCCATCTCTTACAGAGTAATCTTCCCCTCTATGAACGCCGTCCCTGACCTGCAGTGCAGGGGTTTGTTTAGTGCTTCAAAAGCACCCTTCAAAGGGGCAGAAAAACTCACTCGTGCTGGAGGCGTACTCACTCGTGCTGCGGGCGTACTCACTCGTGCTGCGGGCGTACTCACTCGTGCTGCAGGCGTACTCACTCGTGCTGCGGTTTGATGCGGTACAAGGAGCAGAGGAACTCACTCGTGCTGCGGGCACACGCCCATGATGGTGTAAACATCGTCCATCTCCTCCAGAATGTCCTTCCCCTCTATGAACGCTGTCCCTGAGCTCGGCTTCACGAGTCCAATCATCATGTGGATGCACGTCGTCTTGCCCGCCCCGTTCGGCCCCAGCATGCCGAAGCACTCGCCCCGAGCCAGCGCCAGCGACATGGCCCGAACCGCCAGCTTCGGCGGGTTGCCGTCCCTCCCGGGGTAGACTTTCTTCATGTTGTCACAGACGATCGAATAGCCGTGGTCTAGCTGGTCCCTCTGGAGCAGCTGCTGCACCAACTCTCGCTGTTTTGGGGGGATATCCAAGGAGGGAAGGGGAAGAGGAAAGAGTGAGGGGAGGGTGAGGACGGAGAGGTGCCGTCCCTCCCGGGGTAGATTTTCTTCATGTTGTCACACACGATCGAGTAGCCGTGGTCTAGCTGGTCCCTCTGCAACAACTGCTGCACCAACTCTCGCTGTTGGGACAATATCCAAGACACAAAGAAAGAGGAGGGGAGGAGGGGGGTTTGTGGGTGGGGATGAGGAGGTGTTGTCACTTCCGGGGTAGATTATCCTCAAGGGGCAAAGTGGGCGTGGAAAACGCTTGTTGGGTTAGTCCAGGACATTACGTATGGATATCCATGACTTAGAAATGCTATCCCATCCGCTCACATCGCCCCCATCATTCCATCACCTCACCTCTGCCATGACATCCTCTCGCTCCTTCTCCGCCTCGACTGCGCCTTTGGCGGAGGCGCGGTGGGAGCGGGAGGCCCTGGAGAGCGTGTTGCCGTGCTTGTGGCGCCCCCTGATGCCGTCCAGGAAGAAGAGCGGATGCTTCCCCGACCCGCCGCCAGTTGGCACCACCTGATTGGACAGGAGGAGACGGGGTGAGACGCAGCGTGTTGATAAGTGGACGTGCCCATGACAGGGAGGACCCGCTGAGCGATTTTTGAAGTGTATGTTTTTTGAGAATTCTCAGAAAACACTCACAAGGTAAGGCTGTCTGCAGAGGACACTTCTCAGGCGGGAATGGGCCTTACCTTTGATCGACTTAATTTGACTGCTTAGGATGCCCATTCCTGCCCGAACCACTTCACATCTGTGGTTCGCGCCACAGAATGTCTCAAGTTCAACACACTCTATCCCACCTCGTTATAGTACAGCCCGCGGCGACCTCGTGCACCAGCAAGACGGCTCACTCCACAGCCATGATGCCCACAGCGCCCCAGCAGCCTCTGGGATCACATCAACCCGTCCTCACTGCACTCAATGTACTCGTCTCACCCGGTCACACTCACCTGATCCAAGTAGAGCCCGAGCAGCAGGAAGATGACCCACTCCACAGCCATGACGCCCACGGCGCCCCAGAAGCGGACTACTCCCCAAGCATTGCCCCCTCTTCCCCCCCCACCTAGCCAAGACAAGACAAGAGACACACCCCACCTGATCCAGGTAGAGTCCGAGCAGCAGGAAGATGACCCACTCAACAGCCATGATGCCCACGGCGCCCCAGAAGCCATACTCGCCCGCGTTGCTGAAGGTGAGCGTGCCGGAAGTGGCCTGGTAGGCGCCGATAAAGGCGGACTGGGCGAACTCGTACAGCCCGCGGTAGCACGCGAACGGTGGGATGAGCTGTATGGCAAACAGCGCTCCGGCTGAGGTAGGGTGGGGGATAAGGGAGTGGGGAATGTATTTAATGGTGAGCGTGCCGGAAGTGGCCTGGTACGCCCCGATGAAGGCAGGTTGGGAGAACTCGTAGAGCCCGCAGTAGCAGGAAGGAGCACAGAGGGATGAGCTGTATGGTAAACAGCGCTTTTGAGTCGACTCAAAAGGAGCACAGAGGGATGAGCTGTATGGCAAACAGCGCTCCAACTGAGTTGGGTGGGTGCGCACCCAAGGGGACACCCACCCACCTCAGCCGGAGGGCATGGGGGGGGTTGGGGGTGGTGGGTGATGGGCAGTCAATTTGAAAACTCTAAAAAAGAAAGGAAAAAGAGAACAAATACCAATGCGTGTCTGACCCGCAAAGTCGGCGGGATGAGAGGAAGTACCCAACTAGGGAGGCCACCCGCGAACACATAGAGTCGTGCTTTGAGTGTTCTTGAGTGTTCTTTTGAGACGTCTCAAAATTTCACTTTTTACACGTGCTTTGAGTGTTCTTGAGAATTCTAAAAAATACGCTGAGTTGACTCAACACACTGACCTGGAAAGTCGGGGACTTTGAGGAAATACCCAATGAAAAACTGAACTGATCCAAGAGGCCACCCACCAACACATAGAGCGGTATAATGAGTCGACTGAACTCAACGCATGTCTGACCTGGAAAGTCGGGGACTTCGAGGAAATACCCAACGAGAAACTGACTCAAGAGGCCGCCCCCAAACACATAGAGGTACGCAACCACTGCATGGCGCGGGGAGACAAGAGGGAGAGGGGAGGAGGGGAGGAAACGAGTGGTTTGTTTTAGTAAGACTGTGTTGCTGACTGACTCAAGAGGCCGCCTCCAAACGCATAGCGGTACGCCACCACTGCATGGTGCGGGGAGGCAAGGGGGGGAGGCGGAGTGGGGAGACAGTGATGTTAAGGTGGAGACTCTTTAGCACCGTGCAGCACGATGCAGCACGATGCAGAGCAGACACATTCGAGGCGGTCTTGGTGAACTTGAAGCAGGTGGCGATGAGAACCGCGATGGTGGAGCTCTTAGCACAGTGCAGCACGGGGCAGTGCAGCACGGGGCTTTTAGCACAGTGCAGCACGGGGCAGTGCGGTGCAATGCTACAAACTCACCCGAGGCGGTCTTGGTGAATTTGAAGAAGGTGGCGACGAGAATGGCAAAGCCGATCTGCCAGTTGCCAAAGACGAAATAGAAGATGAACTGCAAGCCGTAGTTGTTGATCCGGAAGAACTTAAGCCCTGATGGAGGGAGGGACGGGGGAAGAGAGGGGAGTGGTTGGATAAGGGGAAAGAGCGAGGTGTGAAAGAGAGAGGGTCAGTCAGACAGAGTAGAAGATGAACTGCAGCGCGTAGCTGTTGATCCGGAAGAACTTGAGGCCTGATGGAGGGAGAGGGAGTGGGGCGAAAATGGCCAAATAAGGAAGGGGAGTGAGGTGAGGAGGAAAGGGGATGGAGCGAAGACGGTTAGACAGACGAAGTAGAAGATGAACTGCGGCCCGTAGCCGTTGATTCGGAGGAACTTGAGCCTTGATGGAGGGAGGAAGGGGGCAAGGGGGTTAGGCATAGGATGTAAGGTGAGGGAATATATGGGGAGGCATCGGAGGTAGTCACAATCATGCACGCGTGTTGGGGGAAGGGGGGGTTGGTGGGGGCACGTACCGATGAGGGAGCCGAAGAGGATGGAGATGAAGGAGAGGGGGGAGCATAGGATGTACGAGGAGGAAGTCATATTTGTGCACGTGTGTGGGGCGTACCGATGAGGGAGCCGAAGAGGACGAAGAAGAGGATGTAGATGAAGGAGAGGAGGAAGAAGTAGGCATAGGAGATGAGCCAGTAGGCGCTGTCTCCCAGCCCATGCATCTTCATCATCATGCGTAGGTTCTTCTCCTTCTCGTACACCAGGTACCCCACACACACCTGCGGGGGAGAGGGCGGGAAGGGGGGGTATATAGCAGCACGTGAGGCACATGTGGGACAGAGACAAAACAAAATATTGTGCATCTTCGTCATCATGCATAGGTTCTTCTCCTTCTCGTACACCAGGTACCCCACACACACACACCTGCCGGTAAGCATGTAAGCAAGGTACGGAAGGCACATGAAGAAGAGCAGGCCAATGATGGAGGCGAAGTCAAGGGTGAGCCGCGTGGAGAGAGCAGCGGGAGCTCCTAGGGATAAGGCCCCTTAAAAAGTGAAAGGAGGACGAGTGGAGACGAAAGCACGTACCGGGAAGAGCAGGAGCAGGATCCACATGAAGAAGAGCGGGCCGATGATGGAGGCAAAGTCGAGGGTGAGGCGCGTGGAGCCCTTGGGGAAGTCCTTCACGAATAGCAGCGGGAGCTCCGCTGCTGCGCTGAACACCGCCTGGAGGTACGCGTTGGTGGCCTGGCGAAGTCAGGGAGGGAGGACAAGGAAGGATGGGAAGAGAGGAAAGGAGGCGCGGTTGGCTTGAGGGTGAGCCGCGTGAAGTGGAGTCCTTGGGGAAGCCCTTGGGGAAGCCCTTGGGGAAGCCCTTGGGGAAGCCCTTGGGGAAGCCCTTGGGGAAGCCCTTGGGGAAGCCCTTGGGGAAGCCCTTGGGGAAGCCCTTGGGGAAGCCCTTGGGGAAGCCCTTGGGGAAGCCCTTGGGGAAGCCCTTGGGGAAGCCCTTGGGGAAGCCCTTGGGGAAGCCCTTGGGGAAGCCCTTGGGGAAGCCCTTGGGGAAGCCCTTGGGGAAGCCCTTGGGGAAGCCCTTGGGGAAGCCCTTGGGGAAGCCCTTGGGGAAGCCCTTGGGGAAGCCCTTGGGGAAGCCCTTGGGGAAGCCCTTGGGGAAGCCCTTGGGGAAGCCCTTGGGGAAGCCCTTGGGGAAGCCCGTCCTTTATGAATAGCAGCGGGAGCTCCGCTGCTGCGCTGACCACCGCCTGGAGGTACGCGTTGGTGGCCTGTAATGCCCGGAGGGGAAGGGAGGGGAGGGGAGAGACAAGGGGGGAAAGGACGGGATCGGAGGGAAGGAAGTGCTCTTGACTTAAGGCTGAGCTGCAGTGGAGACCTTGGGGAAGTCCTTCACAAAGAGCAAAGGGAGCTCCGCTGCTGCGCTGAACCTGCTTGGAGGTACGTGTTGGTGGCCTGGGGAAGTTAAGGGGAAGAGGGGAGGAAGAGGGGTGGAAGAGGGGTGGAAGCGGGGTGGAAGAGGGGTGGAAGAGGGGTGGAAGAGGGGTGGAAGAGGGGTGGAAGAGGGGTGGAAGAGGGGTGGAAGAGGGGTGGAAGAGGGGTGGAAGAGGGGTGGAAGAGGGGTGGAAGAGGGGTGGAAGAGGGGTGGAAGAGGGGTGGAAGAGGGGTGGAAGAGGGGTGGAAGAGGGGTGGAAGAGGGGTGGAAGAGGGGTGGAAGAGGGGTGGAAGAGGGGTGGAAGAGGGGTGGAAGAGGGGTGGAAGAGGGGTGGAAGAGGAGAGAAGGATGGACGAAGAGAAATGGGTGGGAGCACTGCTGCTGCGCGGAACCTGCTTGGATGTACGCAATAGTGGTTTTAAAAGCCCTGGGGAGAGGGGAAGGCAGGAATGGGAAGGACGGAGAATGGAACACACCCATCCCACCACGTTCAAGACTTTGGGAAGCACAGGACAGCTGTGGGGCAACACATTATATGGAGCACCTCAAAACCCCACCACAGGTACAGGCAGAGCCTGAGCCCAGCCCACCATGTTGACGAGTTTGGGAAAGTGCATGGAGGGCAAGTACTCCGTGTTCACATCTTTTGGCAAGCGCAGGGAGGGCCTGAAGCGGCACATTATGAGGCACAGGCACGGGCACGGGCACGGGCACAGGCACGGGCACAGGCACAGGCACAGGCAAGGGCACGGGCACAGGCACGGGCACAGGCGCAGGCACAGGCACGGCACAGGCACGGCACAGGCACAAGCACGGGCACGGGCACGGGCACGGGCACGGGCGCGGGCACAGGCACGGGCACGGGCACGGGCACGGGCACGGGCACAGGCACGGGCACAGGAACAGGCACAGGCACAGGCACAGGCACAGGCCAAGCCCACCATGTTCATGAGCCTGGGAAAGCGCAGGGCAGCCGTGCCGCGGCGCCTGCTTCTAACGGTCGAGACGTTGTAGTAGACAGTGGGGTTGAAGCGCGCACGCACGGTGCTGTTGAAATCAAACGCTGCACGCGCATCGCATCGCGCAAGGAAAGGAGGGAGGGAACGTGCAGGCAGGGCGTTACCAGTACCACTAGCACGCACGCCAGTACCACCACCATCTCCACCACCCGAGCGCCAGCTCAGCGCCATGTCAACGCCAGCTCAGCATGCGAACGCACCATGTTCATGACCTTGGGGAAGCGCACGGCAGACCTGGGCCCCTGGCCGGCTCCCGCATAGGTGGAGTTGAAATAGACCGTGGTGTTGAACTGCTTGGCTGACGTGGTGTTGAAGTCAAACGCTGCAGGGTGGGTGGGTTCGGATGGGAGAAAGAGGAGGGGGTGGGGACAGGGAGAGCATAGGTGGAGTTGAAATAGACTGTGGTGTTGAACTGCTTGGCTGAGGTGGTGTTGAAGTCAAACGCTGCAGGGTGGGGGATAAGGGAACGGGAGAAAGGAGGAGTGGGGGAAGGAGAGAGAAAAAGGGAGGGAGGGAACAGAGAGCAAAGGTGGAGTTGAAATCGACGGTGGTGGTGGGGGTGGTGGTGTGGCGTTGAAGTCAGACACTGCGGGGCGGGCGGGGAAAGGGAGAAAAAGGGCCAGGAGGGAGTGTAAGAGTGCAACAAGGAAGTTGTTGCTGCATGAGGGTGGGGTTGAAGCGGGTGGGCATGGTGGAGGGAGTTGAATTCAAACGCTGCAGGGCGGGTGACGGGCATGGCATGCAGGGGGAGGCAAAAGTGGGGAAGGGGGCAAAGGGAGGAGATCAAAGGAGGAGATATGGTGGACTGCGGCGTTGGAGTTCTACGCTAGGAGAGGAAGGGAAAGGAAGGTGGTGGGGTTGGGAGAGAGGGGGGGGGGGGGGGGGGGGGGGGGGAAGGGAGGGAATGTGAGGAGGGTGGTTGAAAGGAAGGGATGATTCTTATGGACGGTGGCATTGAATAGAGGGCGAGAGGTGGTGCCGACATCAAACACGTACCTCCGGCATACTCGTTGCTGCTGGTGGCATTCCCGCCATACAGTGCTGTCTGTGCCTGGTAAAACCCGTTGTACAGCTCGCTTTCTATCACACGCAGTTGTGTTTTCTCCCACCAACCACCCACCCCCAACCCCCCCATCTCCCACCCCCAACCCCCTCATCTCCCACCCTCAATCCTTCCATCTCCCACCAACCACCCACCACCAATCCCTCCATACCTCCGGCGTACTCGTTGCTGGTGGCATCTCCGCCATAGAGTGCCGTCTGTGCCTGGTAAAACCCGTTGTACAACTCGTTGTCGATCGCTGCCGAGCTTGCTCGCCACAGCGGTGACGTGGGCACACAGGACAGCTCTGCATGCACACCAGGGGGAGGGAAGGTAGAATGGGAACAAAACACATGCAATAGCATGCTAGTCAGCACGGAGATTGAGCCTGGTAAAACCCGTTGTACAGCTCGTTGTCAATCGCTGCTGTGTTTGCTCGCCACAGCGGTGAGGTGGGCACACAGGACAGCTCTGCATGCGGGGGTGGGGGGAAGGTAGAATGGGAACAAGACGCGATAACGTGTGAATCACCAGGGAGATTGAGCCTGGTAGAAGCCGCTGTACAGCTCGTTGTACAGCTCGTTGTACAGCTCGTTGTACAGCTCGTTGTACAGCTCGTTGTACAGCTCGTTGTACAGCTCGTTGTACAGCTCGCTGCTGTGCTTGCTTACCACAGCGGCGAGGTGGGCACACAGGACAGCTCTGAGGTATTCGGGGGAAGGAAGGTGGGGCGGGGAGAAGAGGCAATAGCGTGAAAAAATGGGGAGATTTTCACCGGGAGGACAGCCCTTGTGCACCGGGAGGACAGCCCTTGTGCACCTCGAGAAAGCTGCTGCACAGGGCTCCGTGCACATGACACAGGGGGCACATGAGACAATGCACACACCACACAGACCGATACACACGAGGTGACTTTTGAGTCGACTCAGAAGCCACCTAGCTGCTGCACAGGGCTCCTTGCACATGACACAGGGGGCACATGAGACAATGCAAACACCACACAGACCGATGCACACGGCTCACATCACATCTCACACACGGAGCAACTCACGCAGGGGTTCTTTAGTGAAGCCGCCGAAGGAGAAGTTGAGGGGCGTCTGCAGCACGGTTGGAGAAGAGCAGTTGGGCTGCAGCAGGTAGAGCTTGCTGGGGTCGTCTGTGATGGGCGTCAACGCCGGCTCTATGATCAGCGTCAGCGTCAGAGACGCGTTCGTGCCCTGCCGTGGGGATGTGGGGGGGGGACAGTTGCATGTTTGGGGCACATCAGGGAACGAGCAGTGCAGTTAGGCTGCAGCAAGTAGAGCTTGCTGGGGTCGTCTGAGATGGGCGTCAAGGCCGGCTCGATGATCAGCGTCAGTGTGAGAGACGCGTTCGTGCCCTGCCGTGGGGATGGGGAGGGGGGACAGTAGAATGTATGATGGCCCTCAGAGGCCGAGGCCTGAGCAGTTGGGCTGCTGCAGGTGCAGCAGGTGGAGCTTGGGGTCATCTGAGATGGGCGTCAAGGCTGGCTCGATGATCAGTGTCAGTGCGAGAGACGCGTTCGTGCCCTGCCGTGGGGATGGGGTGGGGTGGGGGGGGCACATGTGGGGGGATAGCGTCAGGGAGAATACCTTCCAGGCGCCTCAGAGATCGAGCAGTTGGGCTGCATAAGGTATATAGAGCTTGGGGTGGTTAGGGGCAGGGGCACACGTGAAGCTGTTGAAGTTGTAGCTGTAGGGAGCAAAGAACCCACCCACCAGCTCGAGCGTAGTGATGTTGTAGGGGCATGGAGCGTGAGAGAGTGCAAGTGCAGGAGAGAACGCAGGAGGAAACGCACCAGCTCGAGCGTAGCGAAATTGTAGAGGTAAGGAGCGAGAGACGCAGTTCCATTGTACTTGATCGTGCTGCCGGGAAGAGGGGGGGGAGGAGCTGCGGGCGCAGCAGGCGCCGCGGGCGGCGGAGTGGGCGGCGCGGAGCTGGAGCTACCCGTGGAGATGTTGACACCTGGCATGGTCTGCCATGCCTTGAGGTCGAAGGGGCTTGTTAGATACGCGCCCATGGCTGCAGGGGCGTCATGGGGAAGGGGAAGAAAAAGAGCGGCGCAGTGCTTAGAGAAGGGCAAGGTACGCAGGATGATTCTGGCCCGCCCACGTAGAGGAATCTACGCACCTGGGCGTGACTGAGTTTTTGAGACGTCTCAAAAACACCCTCACTTCACCTGGCCCACGTAGAGGAAACTAGGCACCTGGGCGTGACTGTTTGATATTCTTGAGGCGCCTCACACACACATGCACTCACCGTTGGCAAGGGTCTGGTTCATGCCCGTGTAGAGGAAAGCCAGGCAGCCGCGTGTGATTAATTAATGTTCTTGAGGCACCTCACACACGCATACACGCACTCACCGTTGGCAAGCGTCTGGTTCTGGCCCGTGTAGAGGAAAATGGCCGGGCATGATTGGTTGAGGTTTGATGCTGAGCGGCAGGAGGCGTCTGGCAGGCCCGGATAATTATTCTGCTGCGTTAGGACTGCCCGAAAGTACTGGGTGGGCACCTGAAAGTCAGAAGCGAGGGTAAGGACAGGATGATAAGGAGAAAGTGGGAGAGGAGGAGAGAGTGGGGAGAGTAGAATGAGAGGGGGTACACACTCAACGAGTTTCCTAGCCCCTCACCCGGACACTCGGGCCGCACCAAGGGCGGGAAAATGTACGGGCTAAGCACGGCGAACAAAACGCGATCTGCTTGTTGTTTCAACACTGCGAGGCGCACGTGTGCTCAATCGCGTTCCGAGGCAAGTGCGACTAGCTTGTTGAAGCACCCCCGAAGGGACCATGGCCCGGTACACGTATGGGCTAGGCATGGCGCAGGCGTATCTGCTGCGTATCTGCTGCGTATCTGCTGCGTATCTGCTGCGTATCTGCTGCGGGCCACACATCTGCTCCCTCGCCTCTCAGGGCAAGCGCGACGCGGCGACTAACTAGCCGTTAACGGCTCACCTGGACCATGGCGGGGTACATGTACGGGTTCGGCACGGCGCAGAAGGCGGTCTGCTTGTTGTTGGAATACTGCGGGCCGCACGTCTGCTGACTAGGATCGGGGCACGAGTCCGTGTTGTTCTGCCCCGTGGCCGTGCAGATGCAGCCGCAGCGGTAGTCCGGGCCGCTGAGGATGGCGTTGATGGCAATCTCGAGGACCTTGAGCAGCACGCACATGAGGATGGGCATGGACACCAGGCAGCAGTTGGTTCCCCAGTTGCGTTTCTGGAGGCGAGAGGGGGAGATAAGAAGGAAAAGGAGGATTGAGGAGGCTCAAACGGCAATCTCGAGGACCGTCTGCTGACTAGGATCGGAGCACGAGTCCGTGTTGTTCTGCCCCGTGGCCGTGCAGATGCAACCGCAGCGGTAGTCCGGGCCGCTGAGGATTGCGTTGATGGCGATTTCGAGGACCTTGAGCAGCACGCACATGAGGATGGGCATGGACAACAGGCAGCAGTTGGTTCCCCAGTTGCGCTTCTGGAGGCGTGGGGGAAGATAAGTCGCAGATAGAATCTTGAAAAGGTCCAATAACCGACTGCTGGACATTGAGGGCTAGGGTTACTGAGGATTAACAGGTCCAGAGGCAGAGAAATGGGAGAGGCGAAGCCACGATGAACCTTACGGCGACGAAAAGAATCATGCAGTCAAAAAGGGGCTTTGGAGTTAAGGCATGGAAATGGTACCTGAAGTATACTAACAGAACACTGTTTCCGTTGCCTATTGTATTCTACAGAATCTTCAATTACTTCCCAATGTCAGCCCTAGCCGCAGCCGCGTCTAGCGGTGTATTACCTGAAACGTGACATTTTTCCGCAAAAGCGCATTCGCTTGAGTGTTAAAAGTAGTACGAAGTCGCACTCGGCGCTGCTCTTGTTCCTTGTCAGCCTCAAGTTCCTGCTCATTTACAGGAACACTTTCTTCGCCGTCTCTTTTGCTCCCGCCGTTCTCCTGATCGGCCATTTCAACAGAGCTCTATTATTTGTTGATCGTAAACGATAAAGTAGAACTAACGAGGGCAAGAAGCGGAAACAGCAAAGTAATAGTAAGTTTAGTCCTCACTGTTGTTCAAGTTCCAAGACAAGGTGTGAGAGGAGGTTCCGTCGTTAGCTAACTGGACACCGAAACTCCTCCCTTGAGACTGAGGAACCAAGAGAGGAAAGAGTAGGACAGCGACATGCAAGGAGGCAAGCTTTTCGGCATGCGGTGCAGTTTGAAATACCGAACGTACGGTCGTACGCTTTCCTTTGAGAAAAAGTGTCTTACAAAGGCCGTCCAAGTTCATGGAGTAATTTGATTCGCTGTACGGGTTCGATGGATGGGACGGGACAACTGGGGTGCGTGGTTGCTGTGTGGTGGCGAAGTTTTTTCGTTTTGCTGGAAGGAGTCGGCTTGAATGGATCAAGAAGAGCAGCGAGGCAACTGTGTGGTGGTGTACCGTGCAGGGAAGGTCTGAACTGAAAGTGCGCCGTGCTTGGCGAAACTTGGTTTGGGTGGTTCTGGGTTGACCGTTCACGATTGTGTGGGCGTGCACCTTTTTTGTGAGGTGACTTGGCAACCCGAAAGTGACAGATTATGATGTCAGCAATGGGAGTGTGACAGTTTTGTGTCTGAGGTGGCTTCGCATCGGTGGTCACTGACGTATGATCCGAAGCAACGAGGAAGTCCGTCCACTTCGAACTTTTGTCTGCGGGGTGTTGACCCTGCTCTGCTCATTGTATAGCCAACGGGCGGCTAGCAATTGCTGTACAGTATCTTCTGGCTGTCTGTACACCAAGACCTGGACTGCGCACATGAGTCAGCGGAAAAACAAAAGAAACATGGTCGCAGCCGAATATTCAGTCTTTGCGTTGCAATCTCAACGTCAGAAGGGGCAAACATCGAAACGTCACAATGCCTCGGATAGCCTCTAGTTCGTGGGTGTCTTACCCCCTATAGCCAAATAAGGTCCGTTTGGCTTTAAGGAAGAACTGACGGGGCGTGAAATTGGCGAGGACTGTGTGTAAACCTTTATTCTAGGAATCATATCGTACACGTTGTATTGAGAAGCGCCCACCTCCTATGTCTGCCTCGAACCACCATATGCCTCGAACCATTCCAGTATCTGTGCACAGACTTTCGCGAGAAACGAAAAGATTCCGCGCGTCGTACCGCATCGCGGTGCAAATGTGTGGTGCAGTTTTTTCTTCACGCCCAACCAGGCCACCCTGACAGCACATTTTGGAGAACGGTTTCATCTGTCAGAGTCCGTTTCATCTCCGCACCCCTTTCTCATGAACTGCCCAGTCATCCTCTAGCTGAGTCCCTCTCGCCACTAGTCACTCTCCTGACCGTTCCTTCCATCTCCTCCAGCTTTCTCTCCCTCACCTCACCTCTATCTCCGAAAATTCCAGCTTTATTTCTTCCACCCGTCTCAGATAGCCCGCGCAAGCAAACGTCTTTCAGAGGCTCGGCCTGCTAGCGATACATATCTGAGGCCCCGAGTCCGTGGGAAAGCTCTGAATGCCATTGTTGCTAAACTTGAGGCGGAGTTCGGGGTTTTCGTTCTGGTAGTCCGATATGGGGCAATCAGAGAAAGATGGAGGGGCTGATCATTCGACGACGCGTTTGCGCGGATACGCTCTCTGGAATCTGCAGTTCAAGGCACTTATGATCAAGAACGCCTTGGTCGCATGGCGAAATAAAACGGCTACTTTCCTCCAACTCTTCGCGTCGTTCTTTTTCATCTTCCTTATCTTCGCTGTAAACGAGGCCCTTAAAGCCGCCATAAAAGACAAGACCGAGTACAAAAACATCTACACTCCGGTCCCGAAAGTCATTCCTGGTATTCGGTCTTGCGAGAGCGCGTTTTACATCAAGCCTCCGTGCTACGATTTTGTATGGAGCGGGAATAACAGCGCGGTCGTCACATCGATCGTGAAAAACATCACCCTGAACAATCCGGGCCGTCCAATCAATTTCGACACCCAGGTAAATTACCGGGACGCGTTCAGCAGTGGACCGTTGCGTGCGTTGCGTACGTGACGGTTGCGAACCTCAGCTTCGTTTCCCCATTCTCCGTGTTCATGATGTCCTTTTCCGGCATTCTCTATGTCGCCAATGACTGATGAGGCGCCTCAAAAGTAACCTCTGCTTCGTTCCCCCGTTGTCCGTGTTCCTACTGTTCCGTCATTCTATCTGTCACCAATGTCCCTTGTATAACCCATTCCCATCCGCTCGTCAGATCAAGGGCTTCGCAACCCCAGCTGACGTGGACGCATGGCTGCTGGCGAACCCGTACACGACGACCGGCGCGCTGCACTTCGCCTTCACGCCGTCCGGCGCGTTAGGCTACGGCATTCAAACGAACGCCACCGTTAAGAGCCAGCGCGGGCAATTCGAGGACGCGACGTTCGACTACCAGGTGCCGCTTCAGGCGGCGGCGGAGCGCGAGATCGCGCGTTACATCGCGCAGGACTGGACGCTGACGTGGACGCCGTCGTACGCGGAGTTCGCGCACCCGGCCATCAGCGCGTTCTCCGCCGTCGGATCCGCCGGCGCAACGTTCCTCTTCGCCGCGGCCATGTTCAGCTTCGTCACGCAAGCGAGCAACCTCGTAACGGAGCGCGAGCTAAAACTCCGTCAGGCCATGTCCACCATGGGACTCATGGACTCAGTCTTCTGGCTCACATGGTTCCTATGGGAGTTTCTCCTCGCAATCATATCCTGTATCCTCCTCGTGTGCTTCGGCATGATGTTTCAATTCGATTTCTTCCTACACAACGCATTCCTCGTCCTCTTCCTCATGTTCTTCCTCTTCTGGCTCTCCATGACCTCCCTCGCCTTCTTCGTCTCCACCTTTCTCCGCAAGGCCTCCACAGCCAACACCGTCGGGTTCTTTATCTTCATTATAGGCTTCGTGCTGCAGCTGATCGTGCTGTTCGGGGTTCCGTACTCTAAGGAGTACAGCAACGGCCTCAGGATCATCTTTAATCTCTTCCCGCCTGATCTCCTAGCTATAGGGCTGAAATACTTGGGAGACGCCACAGCCACTCCCGAGGATCCCGGGATTAAGCTGTCCACGATTGGCCAGTGCTCTCCGCGAAGCCCGGACTGCGTGATGACGATGGCGGGGATCTACGTCTGGCTGCTCGTCCTGACGATCGTCTATTTCATCCTGGCCGTCTATTTGGACAACGTTCTCCCGGACGTGAACGGCATCCGAAAGCCCTGCTTCTTCTTCCTCTACCCTTCCTTCTGGACCGGCCGAGCCTCGGGAGGGGAGCATGGAGGACTCTTCTCGTGCTTCGGCAGGAAGGTTCCTGAGCTGGATCCGAACGACCGCGCTGACGACGCTGACGTCATCGAGGAGGAGGAGAAGGTGAAAGCAGCGGCAGCAGCAGCGGGAGGGGGGGAAGCTGCCAACGTGTCAGTGTCCGTTCGCGGCCTGGTGAAGACGTTCCCCGGGCGTACGGAGATGAAACGGTGCTGCGTGATTAAGAAGTCACCGGCGTTTCATGCGGTGAAGGGGTCGTGGTTCGGCGTGGAGAAGGACAAGCTGTTCTGCCTGTTGGGACCCAATGGCGCCGGGAAGAGTACCACCATTCACTGCCTCACAGGCATCATCCCCACCACTGCTGGCGACGGTAAGGGCAATGATTACAATCAATATTATGATCAGATTGTCGTGGTTCAGTGTGGTGAAGGACAAGGCGTTCTGTCTGCTGGGGCCCAATGAAGCGGGGGAGGGTGCGATCATCTACTGCCTCACCTGCATCATTCCCACCGCTGCTGGCGTTTGAGGCGTCTCAGTAATGGCAGGCACGATGCAGCTACGCAGTGCTAAACAGCATTGGAAACACCATTCTCTCTCACGCCGTCCAACTCCCACCACCCCACTTCACTTTTGCCACCCCTTCCCTTCCCATGTCATCCTCAAAACCAGCGCTGGTGCTGGGGTCGTCCATCCGCGACCCAGGCAGAATGGCGCGCATACGCGGCAGCATGGGCGTGTGTCCGCAGTTGGACATCCTCTGGAACCTCCCTCCCCCTCTTTTCCCTCCCCAACCCCCCTCTTCTCCCCCCGCATCCCCTCAGCTCTTGTCCTTGGGTCCTCCATCCGCGACCCAGGCAGCATGGCGCGCATACGGGGCATCATGGGCGTGTGCCCGCAGTTTGACATCCTGTGGGCCCTTTTTTTCCAACCCAACCCCCTTCACCACCTCATTACCCAACCCAACCCCGCCTTCTCTCCCTCTTTTCGCATTCCAACCCCCCTTCTTTCCCCGCATCCCCTCAGCACTTGTCCTGGGTTCGTCCATCCGCGACCCAGGCAGCATGGCGCGCATACGGGGCATCATGGGCGTGTGCCCGCAGTTTGACATCCTGTGGGACCGCCTGTCGGGCGCGGAGCACCTCTACCTCTTCGCGCGCATCAAGGGGCTGCCCCCCGCGCACACGCACAAGGAGGTCGCGACCCTGCTGGAGGAGGTGCGGCTCACTGAGGCCCAGAAGATGCGCACGCGTGCGTACAGCGGCGGCATGAAGAGGAGACTGTCGGTGGCCGTGGCTCTCATTGGAGACCCCAAGGTTGTCTACCTCGACGAGCCGGTGAGTTGGGCCCTTTCTTGGGAGGTTGGGTCCGGTCAATCCCAGGGTCTGCTCTGCTCTGCCTCCTCTGCTCTGCTCTGCTCTGCCTCCTCTGCTCTGCTCTGCTCTGCCTCCTCTGCTCTGCTCTGCCTCCTCTGCTCTGCTCTGCTCTGCCCCCCGCGCACATGCGCAAAGAGGTGGCGGGTCTGCTGGAGAGGAGGTGCGGTTGACTGAGGCCCAGAAGATGCACACCAGCGGGTACAGTGGGGGGGATGAAGCGGCGGTTATCACTACATGGAGGAGGCGGACATCCTGGGCGACCCAGCACTCTTGTTCCGAGGTGACTTTTGAGTCGACTCAAAAGGCGACCCAGCACTCTTGTTCCGAGGTGACTTTTGAGTCAACTCAAAAGGCGACCCAGCACTCTTGTTCCTCTCTCCCTTTCCCTCTTTCCCCCCACCAATTCACAGACCACGGGCATGGACCCTGTGTCCCGTCGCCACGTGTGGGACATAGTAGAGCGCGCTAAGAAAGGACCCGCCATTGTTCTCACCGCGCACTCCATGGAAGAAGCGGACATCCTGGGCGACCGCATTGCCATCATGGCCCTCCTTCCTTCCCCCCCACCAATTCACACACCACAGGCATGGACCCTGTGTCCCGTCGCCACGTGTGAGACATAGTAGAGCGCGCTAAGAAAGGGCGGGCCAGTGCCGACCACTCACTCCGTGGAGGAGGCGGTCATACTGGGCGACCCAAATTCTCTTTGTCCCTTCCCCCCCCATCTCCCTCCTTTCTTCCACCAGACGACAGGCATGGACCCGGTATCCCGGCGCCACGTGTGGGACATAGTGGAGCGTGCAAAGAAAGGGCGGGCCATTGTGCTCACCACGCACTCCATGGAGGAGGCGGACATCCTGGGCGACCGCATCGCCATCATGGCGCGCGGCCGCCTGCGCTGCATCGGCACGTCCATTCATCTCAAGAACCGCTTTGGCGCCGGGTTTCTTGTCACTGTGGGGATCGGGGCGAAGGGAGGGACGCCCTCGGCTGTGGATTTGCAGGCGGACAATGCTGCCAAGGCGGCTGTGGCTGAGAAGGCTTCTGCTGTGAAGGCGTACTTTAAGGAGGTGAGTGGGGCAAGGCGTGCAGGCACACGGGTGAGTAAGCACAAGGGGTGGCTGAGGCAGCTGTTGCGCAGAAAGGTGCAGCTGTGACAGTGGTGTTCAGGGGGGATGTGATGGGAAAAGCAGCTGTAGACAGAATATTGCTGCGTCCATCCATCCGCATCTAGAGCTGTGAGGCAAAGTATGTTGTCATCATGCTTCGCCTGCGCTGCTTCATTGGCCAGCATGCTTCCAAACATCCTTCATTGGCAGGGGAAGCTTTACCTTTTTCTTCCCACTGACTGGAAGGTGTTCCCATTTTTCCACCTCCCCCCCACTGCCTCTTGCAGAAGCTGGATGTGGAGGCATCAGATGAATCCAAGGGATACGTCAAGTTCCTTGTGCCACGAGACAGGGAGCCCCAACTCACTGTAAGCTGGGTTTTATACCACATGCCTTATGCATGTGCTTGTGTGGGACTGTGCATGTGCTCATGTGTCCTCATATTTCCGCACGTGTCCTCATGTGTGGCATGCACCAGACTGTGCGAACAAGTTCCCACGCAGCAACAATCATGCCGCTGCATTACATCCAGCCTGCCCTTCTCTCTGCCATGCACTGTTCCCTCATCTGCCCACCTCATCTCTTCCTGCTGCTTTGCCCCTGCAGGCTTTTTTCAAGGAGCTGAACGACAGCAGCAAGGAGTTGGGAATCACCGACACACAGCTCTCCCTCTCCACCCTCGAAGAGGTCTTCCTCAACATCGCCCGCCAAGCAGAGCTCGAAACCGCGCAAGCCGAAGGCCGGTTTGAAAACATTGTTCTTACTAATGGGTTGTCAGTCCAGGTGCCTGTGGGTGCTGAGCTCGTCTCGCTGCCGGCAACGGAAGAGTTTCCCCAGGGGAGCCTGATTGATGTGAGCTGGCAGCAGGATGACACTGGGACGCTGAGGATTTCGAAGTTTTCGGAGCAGAGGGAGACGACTGCTGAGGCTGCGGCAGATGCGGTGCCTGCGAGGTGGGGGAAGAGTGGAGCGGAAAAGAGCTTTTGGGCTAGGATGTGCGGGTGTTGTTCATAAGCCATCTGGTTGTTTTCTCTAGGAAAGTCGGTTGGGTCATAAGAGTTGATAGTAATCAGACCTCATTGCATGACTTCACAGCTAATTATACTTTCCAAGTCTTGTGATGTTTGTGAAGGGAGGTGTAGGCTAGGGAAGGATATGTACTGGTATGTCCAATTGATATAACTTTTTTTTTTGGGCTGCATGTTATTACACTAAAATAAGTACATACATCCTCAGTCGTGACTGCCAATTGATAGAACTATGCATGCGTTAATCTGAGTGTTACAACTAGTTTATTCCGTATGACTATTCCTCTTCCCAAGACCAGCTGTCAGAAGTTACCGGGCTGTTCGCCAGCACCTTTGAAGCCAAAAACCACGGGATAATGATGGGGTCAGGAAGGTGGGTCTTGCCTTCCTGATCCCGTCAGTTAGGGTTCGTTAAGCTCCGTCAGCCTGGTCAGCCCGTAAAAATGCTGCCGAGCCTCTCCTATCGTCCAAACCAGAAACCAATGTGGGCGCCTGGCGAACGCCCCCATTTCGAAACCAAATCGAACTGCTCGACGGTTTATGGAAGCGGGGATGCAACTTCGTCCCCAGGCAAAATTCCCTCCCAAGCTATGCCATCGCCATCCCCCCTTTTTCAGAGGACAGCGATGGCGCAAGCGTTGTTCTGCAGGCGTTTAGGGTTCCGCACCAATTTGACCGCGGTAGCCTTCCGTGCATTTTCTAGGCGCATTCATGCTGGTTGCGTTGCGCGGATGTTGCTGCCTCGCATAAAATGTGCGGAGGCTGATGCTAGCTCCCGAGGTAGAATTAGCACCGCACTAGTTGTGCGGCCATTTGCCCGGCGAAGCAACAACTTCGAACCTGCAGACGGTTAAATTCGTGCGCCCCAAAAGTGGCGTTCTGCAGGCTGATGCGTTAAATTTGGCGCAAACAGGTTCGGCAGGACCTTTCTTATCACCAAACCTTGATAGGCAGAAGACCACTTATCAACGAAGATTCTGCGGACCCAGTTTTTGGAATTTTAAAGCTCGCGTCTCCAATTACACCCTTCCATCCAAGTGTTAAACGCTTGATATAGGGTAACAGACTGCTTTGTCGCAAAGTACACCCAGGCAAGGGTTGAGACTCGGGAAAGTGTGGGTGGGGTGGTTTGGGTTTGCAACGTGCACTGTAATTGGGTGAGCAAATACGCCAAAGCAGGTTGGGTTGGCAAACTCACCTGCGCGACAAACAAAGCTGAGAATGCGCTCATCGTGCGACAACGGGACCGTCGCCCTCTCGTCCCTGCAAACCAAGCGTTTTACACAGCTCAGAAATATGAGACTGGGAACTCGTCAATATCTCAAAAGGCACTCTGCACCAAGTGTTTTACCTCCCTGGACACATGTCCCCGACTGGAGCACGACGAACGCAAAGTGGTTAGAAAGCCTCACCCAAAACCTCGATGCCCCACACTTCGTATGCCCATCACGACCTACACTGCTACAATCTCATTCGCATTCGACAAAAACGCGACCTGTCATAGACTATAGACCGCCATCTCTATCCCTAGACAATCCACAGCCCACGCCGCGCTGCCCCGAACCGGCTTTCATCGCCCAAACGCCCGACCCTTGATTAGGTGAGCCTAATCAATTTGCGGGAGATTACCCCGCCAGAAATGTGGGCCCCTAGAATCGCGTCGACATCGTAGGCCCGCGCAGTACGAGGCCCTTACGAGCACTAAGTGAACGGCTGTAGTGTAATAAGTGGCCTTACACGGCCTAATGAGAGGCGTTTTGAGCGGCGTAACGGGGGGCGAAACTAAATACGGAGTAAGGAGAGGCGCAATGAGAGGCAGAATTAGACTTGGCGTGAGAGGCGGAATGAGCGGCGGAATGAGAGACGCACTGAGAGGCGGTGTGAAGTGCGGAAGCAGGGGCGGAATTATAGGCGGAATAAGAGGCGGAATGTGAGGCGGAATGAGAGGCGGAAAAAGAGGCGGAACGAGAGGCGGAATGAGAGGCGGAACGAGAGGCGGAACGAGAGGCGGCGTGAGAGGCGGGATGAGAGGCGGATTGAGAGGCGGGATGAGGCGAATAGATAGGCGTAATGAGAGGCGTAATGAGAGGCGTAATGAGAGGCGTAATGAGGGGCGGAAAGAAACCCGGAATGAGAGGCGACGCGAGAGGCGGAGTGAGATGCGGAAGGAGGGGCGGAATGAGAGGCGGAAGGAGAGGCGGCTTGAGATGCGGAATGAGAGGCGGAACGGGGAAGGGAGGAGCAGCGAGAGGGGGAAGGTAGGAGGTGCGAGAGGGGGAAGGGAGCTGCTGTGGGTGGGGGAAGGGAGGAGCTGTGAGAGGGGGAAGGGACGAGCTGTGATATGGGGAATGGAGATGCTGTGTGTGGGAAGTGAGGAGCTGTGAGAGGGGGAAGGGAGATGATGTGGGTGGGGGAAGGGAGGAGCTGTGAGAGGGGGAAGGGAGGAGCTGTGAGAGGGGGAAGGGAGATGCTGTGGGTGGGGGAAGGGAGATGCTGTGGGTGGGGGAAGGTAGGAGCTGTGAGAGGGGGAAGGGAGGAGCTGTGATAGGGGGAAGGGAGATGATGTGGGTGGGGGAAGGGAGGAGCTGTGAGAGGGGGAAGGGAGGAGCTGTGATAGGGGGAAGGGAGATGCTGTCGGTGGGGGAAGGGAGATGCTGTGAGATGGGGAAGGGAGGAGCTGTGAGAGGGGGAAGGGAGATGCTGTGGGTGGGGGAAGGGAGATGCTGTGGGTGGGGGAAGGGAGGAGCTATGAGAGGGGGAAGGGAGGAGCTGTGATAGGGGGAAGGGAGATGATGTGGGTGGGGGAAGGGAGGAGCTGTGAGAGGGGGAAGGTAGGAGCTGTGATAGGGGGAAGGGAGATGCTGTGGGTGGGGGAAGGGAGATGCTGTGGGTGGGGGAAGGTAGGAGCTGTGAGAGGGGGAAGGGAGGAGCTGTGAGAGGGGGAAGGGAGATGATGTGGGTGGGGGAAGGGAGGAGCTGTGAGAGGGGGAAGGGAGATGCTGTGGGTGGGGGAAGGGAGGAGCTGTGAGAGGGGGAAGGGAGGAGCTGTGATAGGGGGAAGGGAGATGCTGTGGGTGGGGGAAGGGAGATGCTGTGAGATGGGGAAGGGAGGAGCTGTGAGAGGGGGAAGGGAGATGCTGTGGGTGGGGGAAGGGAGATGCTGTGGGTGGGGGAAGGGAGGAGCTGTGAGAGGGGGAAGGGAGGAGCTGTGATAGGGGGAAGGGAGATGATGTGGGTGGGGGAAGGGAGGAGCTGTGAGAGGGGGAAGGTAGGAGCTGTGATAGGGGGAAGGGAGATGCTGTGGGTGGGGGAAGGGAGATGCTGTGGGTGGGGGAAGGTAGGAGCTGTGAGAGGGGGAAGGGAGGAGCTGTGAGAGGGGGAAGGGAGATGATGTGGGTGGGGGAAGGGAGGAGCTGTGAGAGGGGGAAGGGAGGAGCTGTGATAGGGGGAAGGGAGATGCTGTGGGTGGGGGAAGGTATGAGCTGTGAGAGGGGGAAGGGAGGAGCTGTGAGAGGGGGAAGGGAGGAGCTGTGATAGGGGGAAGGGAGATGATGTGGGTGGGGGAAGGGAGGAGCTGTGAGAGGGGGAAGGGAGGAGCTGTGATAGGGGGAAGGGAGGAGCTGTGATAGGGGGAAGGGAGATGCTGTGGGTGGGGGAAGGTAGGAGATGTGAGAGGGGGAAGGGAGGAGCTGTGATAGGGGGAAGGGAGATGATGTGGGTGGGGGAAGGGAGGAGCTGTGAGAGGGGGAAGGGAGGAGCTGTGAGAGGGGGAAGGGAGATGCTGTGGGTGGGGGAAGGGAGATGCTGTGGGTGGGGGAAGGTAGGAGCTGTGAGAGGGGGAAGGGAGGAGAGGACAGAGGTGGGGAGAAGGTGCACTGAGAGGGGGAAGGAGGAGAGGACAGAGGTCCTGTGAGAGGGGGGAGGGAAGGTGCTTAGCGATAGCACCGGGTGTGAACTTGTGGTGAGGCATACGCACGAATGCTCTCCATCCTTCCTGTCTCCGTACCCACCTCCTCACTCCCCTATCCCTTTCCCGCGCCTGGACCCGTTCCCGCTCCTCCCAAACCATTCCCCCATTGGGGGGAATAATATCCCATTCTTATTTTCCACTGCTCCCTCTCATCCCCCCCCTAGTGTCCCATCATTTTCCCCTGGAGTCCCTCTCATTTCACCCTTTGTTACCCCTAATTTTCCCTATGGGAGGGAGGTGCTGTCATAAGGGGAGGTAGGTGAGCAGGTAGGGTGAAGATACGTGATGATGGAGGGGGGAGGGACATGAGGTGAGAGGGTGGAGGGAGGGGAGGTGAGTGGTGGAAGATAGGTGAGGAAGGGGGAAGGGTGGTGAGGTCAGAGGGGGGATGGGATGTGAGGGTAGGGGGAAATGAAGGTGAGTTCAGAGGGGGGAAGGGAGGTGCTGAGAGACGGGAGAGAAGGTGTTGGGAGGGGGGCAAGAGGTGCTGTCAGAGGGGGAAAGAGGTGATTTGAGAGGGGAGAGTTAAGTGCATAGGGAGGGGGAAAGGACTTGATTTCATATGGGGAATGTAGGCAAACAGGGGAGGGGAAAAGGAAGGTGAGGTCAAAAGGGGGGAATGAAGGTGCGTGGAGAGGGAAAAGAGGGTGCGGGCAGTGGGTTAGGAGGTGATGGGTGAGTTGGAAGGGGGGTGCGGTGCGGCCAGAGGGGCAAGATAAGTGCACGAATAAAGAGGAAAGGAGTTGAGGCACGCGGGGTAGAGGGTTAGTGGTGACGCTGGCAGGGGGGGAAGAGGTGATGTGAGAGGGGAACAGAGGTGCTTAGGGAGGGGGGTCTGGGGGTGGGAAGGGTGGTGCTGGCTGGGGCAATGCAACGATGTGAAATGCGGGCTGGGGCGGTGCAACGATGTGAGATGGGGATGAGATGTGCTTAGAGAGGGGGAAGCGAGGTACTGTCATAGTGGGAAGGGAGGTGAGGACAGAGGGAGAAGGGAGGTACAGTGACAGGGGGAAGGT